GAGAGCCTGTGATTCCACACCATCTACTAAAACTGATGTTGTTTGATTTCAATATAAATTTAATGCCCATGTAGATATAAATTTATAAATATGTATATTTTCACAGTGTCGGTGAGATTAAGCACCCTTTGCGTAGATCTTTGTTTACAGGGAATTTCTTTGAAATACTGTCACTAATTTTTGTTCTAAACATTGACCCACTGTAGAGATTTTTAATGGGCTTCATGAGAGTGTGATTGTTTGTTTCTTGTGATGTTTTGTAGCGCTTTGTTCTAGCAGTCCAATTAATAACTTTTTTAAGGATTGGTTATGTGGGCCCCTTCCACTCTTTCGGCAACCTGGATGCCATATACTTACCAATTTGTATACCAGGTAAGTGTGTTAAAAAGTTAGTGTGGCTCGTTCTGATATAATTCTCGTTGGGCCTACATGCATGTCACTTTTTACCCACTGCTTTTTTAATGCCGATAAAAGTCGCAGACATGTCATGCTGCTGATGTAATGATTGGATCATAGTTTTTACTAATGGCAGTAGAAAACATCTGGATAAATAGTGCATATACTTTACAAAGGAGAAGAAAATTTTACAAAAACCCGCTAATTATAAACAGTCATTTCTTCCTATTGTGTTGTCTCCTTTCGAAAATTTGCAAAGTTTGTGTTTTAAATGACAATTGTAGCTCTGGAAACAGCTGCAGGAAAGATTTTTTTCGGATGAGCTCATTTTTAATAATCCACGTTAGTTCTTAAATAGCAACAACTGACGCATTAAAATTTTCTGATAATAAAATCGAACGATCAGGTATTAATTCACGGAAGTTAATGTTAAATTGAAGTGCATAAACATTAAAACAAACCTGTTTTTTTAATTTCCGCTGTTCTCATTTGTCACCATAACATATTTCGCTAAGCATTCATCTCATCAGATGTTATAATGAATATTAATAACTTTAATTTTGTAGCCTTGTGAAAAAAAAAGTATTATTTTATATAAACTTTAATCTTTATATAGTTTTATATTGCCTGTAGAACCAACTAAGAACTAAGATCTGACTTCCGTCGGCCACCTATGGCACTTAAGTCAATATACTACTTTCGTGCATAAGTAATGGTTGTAAATTGATTTTGTTTACAACCTGTAATTTTCAAAATAGTATATTTTTTCCCCTTGTTCATTAACTTTACTTCACCCTGTATCCTGTTAAAAATGACCTGTCCCCGACATCAGCGACGGTCCAAAGAGAAAAAGATCCCTGTCTGTTAGAAACTCTCGCGGAGAAAACATGGTGGTGCTATTTGTGATTTTGGTATTTGCGATTCTCAGAGCGTGCGTATCTCTCTCTCTCTTCTCTCTCTCTCTCTCTCAAGTGTTTAGCAATAAAAAAATTGTGTCCGCGATTGTGAACCTAACAGCTTTGTGTAACCACGTTTATTGTCACATATTGTACCCATTGTATATTGTGTTTGTGTTACTTATAATACATAGAGAAATAAAAGTTAGTTTTAAGTTACTCGTATTCTTTACGTACCATAAACAATTAAAATAATACAGTCCATTTAAAAACCCAGAAAATACCGGCGGGATAAGTTAGTAGAAAATTAAAAGCACGTGGAATCACAAATAATTCCACCTCAAACGCCGGTATTATCTCCAAGTAACTTAAAATTTTGTAGTAATATAATAAGTATAATATAATTAGTACAATTAGGGTTCATAACTTCTTTCCCAGCCATAATAGAACAAGCTTGCTATTTATCTACTATTATTTTACTACTATTAGTGCTGTTTAACTAAAAACATTACATATACTTACTTTATTGCGACCTCTTATTAGTAAATACTAGTACTTAGCTCAATTTTCCAACTAACTTGTACAGATATCCTTTATAAAATTCAAGTGCTATAAATAGAAATTGTGACCATTTTCTTATAGAAATTATCTGTCTACGTGAAAAAGTAAAATTATCTACAAATGTTTTCATATTCAGAAAACAAACCGTTTTCAGAAAAAAATATTAAAATAAATATCTAAACTGCAGTACAGCGTCGTAATGGCTGTGTAGAGCCGAGTCATTTGTAAGCCTTTTTGTGTTTTGCAGAGTGTGTGTGTCTGTGTTGAATAAATGCTTGATACTATACAAGGTGTTTGGTAGGTCGATGGAAATTTTTTAAGGGATAATAAAGGACACCATTTGCAAAATTTTTTGCTAATAATGTATCGCTCAAACTGTAAGGTTTCCGAAATAAACCTAAATTTGTCAATATTCGACAACCGTCGACAATGGAATAAAAATGTAAACCTACAACAGTGACTCTTAAATTTCCATCAGCTATCGTCATTCTCCGAACGCATAACAAACAAAAAACAATCTACCTGCTATGAATTTTGGCATCCGAATTGTGCTTTTTGTGAGTTTTTTGTGCATAACGATTTTGAACTTTGTTTGAGTGAACAACCATTCTGTGTATCTGCTTAACGTGATTTATGGATTAGTTGTAATGGCTTCGTTTTCGAATGCAGAGTACGCAGACATTGTTTCGCTATTGCTGGAGTGTTGAAAATGCATCTGTAGCACGTCGAGGATATCAGCGCAGTTACCCTAACCGTCGACTTCCCTATGTAGGTGTCTTTATTAACACATATCGACGAATTAGTGAAACTTATAGTGTTAACAATCCTGTTTCCGGTATTAATCCTGGACGTTACGGTCCTGGTGTAGACGTTCAAATTTTGCTGTTACGAAGAAGCTGTTATAGTGCGTGCAAGCACTCTTGACTACGGCGCAGTAGACGAAGTTTGGGTTTATTCCCCACTTCCGTGTGAAACGCATTGTACTATGCACTGTATAGTTCCACTTACAATAGAACCTTTCCGCCTTTACGTGAATTTGACTCTGCCTTCGCGCAGCTCCATGGTTAGGAGTGCTTGAACTATCTTTACGAATGATCCTACCACAAGCGTTAGAAAGGTTGCTCGATAGTTAAATGTTTCGCAGTGGAAGGTCTGGTCGGTAGTGCACAACGATGGACGCTACCCTCATCATTACATGCCAGTACAAGGTCTTTAAGACGCTGGTCCAATTATTATAGAAGGGTAAATTTTTGTCGCTTTTTGTTAGATGCAAATATCAACGTTGGTAATTTTCAACATGTAAGTTTTTTATGGACTGATGAATTCAGTTTTAATAGAGAAGGAATAACAACTTTCACAACCTCTATTACTAGACACATGACAATCCCCATCTACCGAAAGAAACATCTTTTCAGCAAAAATTTAGTGTCAACGTTTGGGTAGTTTTATCGGCCGAGAGTTAATAGGACCTTACTTTTTGCCAGGCAGGTTAAATAGTCAAGTGTACTTAGACTTTCTAGAGAATGAATTACCACCACTCTTAGAAGATTTACCCCTCGCCCTCAGACGAAAAATGTTGTACCAACATAATAGATGCCTGCACATTGTGCACGTGCTGTTACGGCTTGGTTCAACAATCACTATCCCAATAGCTTGATCGGACGAACTGTACCGATTTTGTGGCCTGCTAAATCGCCCGATTTAACACCGTGTAACTACCACATCTAGGGCAGATTCAAAGAACTTGTTTATCAAATTCCAATCCGAACTAGAGCTCATTTAATGGAAAGGATTATCGAAGCAGCTGACATTATAAGGGCAGAACTGAGGTTAAAAGTAAGCACATCAGAAATACGACGCAGGGCAAGAGCGTGCATTAGGAATGGTGGTTCTTATTTTGAACAACAATGACTGTTTTCTGAAGTTTATGTACATACTTAATAAGGCATAATAAATCTTGCAAAAAGCATGATGTATCGTTGTTCTGTTTTCCTTTCTTACCCGTTTCATTAATGAAGGTTATTTTAACTTCTAAAAACTAATTAAAATTTGTTTTTCTTCAAAATGTTTAATAGAAACACGTATTTATTGTAAATTATAATGGAACTGGATTAAATTCGTAACAAAATGGCGCAAACCGCATGTTAATAGCTTTTGTCGAACTCGAGATATGAATAAAAACGCATAAACAAATTACAGTATCCGAGAATGCGAAGGGGATTGAACCCTCTCCGTATTCAAAGTTTTTAACCCCGTCATATGCCAGGTTACATAGCGTCGGGCCAAACACAGATCCCTGCAGGACCCCGGCCGTCACGTTCACGATCATGCCCTATTGCACACTAATCCTTCTCTCGGACAGATACTCCACCACCACATTCATCAGGTAACCAGGAAATGTCATTGCCTTCATTACCTCGTTCCACTGCAGCGTATTGAATGTATTCCTAACATCTAACACCAGCAGCACCGCGCAGCGATATTCATCCTCTCTGTTCGGGCAATGTTTTTAGTACACTTATGATTGCATCAATTGTGCTTTTCCCCTTACAAAAACCAAATTGCCTTCAAGATAAACCACCTGACCTCTCAATTATGTCATCTATGCGTACTCGCAGCATTATTTTCTACAGCTTACCAATGCATGGAAGAAGACAGATGGGGCGATACTTTACCCCAGCCTTGGAGAGCAGTACTAACCTCGATGTCCTCCAAGGCTCAGAAAAGGTTTGTGGGTAAAGGGTACGGCCAGCTTAGCTGATAACATTGATGATAGGATTGATGATACCATGATAGGATTCAGCGATAAATTGTTCATTATTTTGATAATTTTAATATATTTGAATATTTTAATAATGATTTTCAATCTCAAGATTTAAACATGAATAGATTGTTTTCAGTTTAATTATTCAGCCGTCACAGATAATCAGTTTTCGAGCAATACTACAAACAACTTTTCATAATCCTTATTTAAATTTATTATCTAAAATTTCAAATACTATTTATTTTATTATAAATACTATTTATTATAAGTACACTATTTTGTTAGACACCTTTAGTTGGAAAATTGAGCTAAAACTTACCGTTCAGCCCATATAAAACCCAAGTTAAAGGAATCAGGTAAGGTGCCAGTACATAAGTAAAAGATGAAAGTGCAGAAAAGCTTTAATAGTCAAAGTAACAGACACAATAAATAAATAATTTATATTAATTGTAACAATATAAATGTACATTTTAATATTCTAAACTGTAAACAGTACACCAGCACAAAGAAACAAAAATAAATCATAAAAAAGAAAAATGTCGGAGTAATTGTTTCGAGTATTATCGACATATACAACTTATAATAATAATTTGTGCACAACACAAGCATATATTTTATTTTAAAACACTATAGATACATTTTGGCAATATTTCAAGGCACTTTTGACTAGTTTTAGATGTGACTGCGAGTATAGCAGCGAACAAAAATAAGTAAGTTAAGACCCACCACCAATCTACTTAATGTATTGCGATCTGCGCTCACCTGGTACTTCTAGAGTTGCACTTGTGTTAGCAGTACCAATGGGATTGGTAGCAGTACATGTGAACGTTCCTGCATCCTCTGAAAAAATATATTAAATATATTATACACGGTACGAATTCTAAGAACTGCATATACATAATTTAGCATGCAATTTATTCTTCTTCATTGGATTTTTTAATATAGAGACAAAGGGCGATAGATATATACAGTGATGAGTGTCTTACCACCCGGTTTTTTAACGTAAGAGATAGAAAACACAGTTACCTTGTGAAATAAAAAGAGATGAAACTCGTAAAGGTGGGAAATAATCGATAGAAACCTATAACTTACATTACATTACCACTATAGATAGTCTCACACCTTTAGACGTTAGCTTCGATCTAAATCACCTCGGTCATAATTATTATGTGTGACGTCGTATGTGTGACGTATTTCCATTTTTTAATTTCGCATAAAGTAAAAACTGATTTTTAATAATTTTAAATTATGCAGAGATCGTTTTGCTTTGAATCACTAAACATTTAAACATTTTTGTCAGTCGTTACTAGTATTAGAAGTGTTTAAAGTTAAACATAAATATATTATTGAAGAAAACAGTGTCGTCGTACTTTCGAATATAAAGTAAAAATTCCACAAAATTAAAAAAAATATTGTAAATATGTTCAAATAAGCCCTTTTGATTGTGTAAAACAAAAATTTTATCCTTGGTGTGAATTGAAACCCCAATCTTCTTGTCATAGACCACGTCTCTAACTACTACACCAATTCCACAATTGTTTTCGGACAGAACATACCTACCTTTAGTTTATTCAAATATTTCAGTTGAGTTATTTTTATTAATAAATAAACTTAAAGATTTATAATTTAAAATCGCTACTAATTAATATTTTTTACTATAATATATCTTAATTTATTCAATTATTTATTCTAACATCAGAAATTATTAAAATAAAATATTTTCGAGGTTATCCGTATAATTATGACTGAAGTCAAATAGCCACATCTAAGAACTAGCTTTATCTCGTACTATCTCACAACTTAATGCGTCTTCTATCCTTTCCGCTATTTTGCCTGGTTTTAAACCAACTTTAAACTAGTTAGCTTGAAGCTAACGTCTAAAGGTGTAAGATTAAGATTATTTCCCACCTCATTTATCGGTTGGTATCATACACGTCACAAAACCAAAGTCACCGATGTGGTGCAAAAAGCATTAAAGCTGAGATGGGAATACGCTGGACATGTAGCTAGGAGCGATCTAAACAAATGGCACAGATCAATTTTAACCTGGAGACCATACCAACACAAAAGACCCAGAGGCAGACCTCCTATGAGATGGACAGATGATCTGAAAAGGACTGCCGGGAAAAATTGGCTACAAGTAGCGTACAATAAAAACCAATGGAAAAGACTTGAAGAGGCTTATGTTCAGATGTGGACGTGAATGGCTAGACGAAGAAGAAGAAGAAGAATCATACACGTATTGTAAAATTTTTTTAGTCACCATAATTGCAATACCATTTCTTCCTGTGTTATTTGCTCCCGATATGTATACAACATCATCTGCCGTTCCGAAGTGTCCTTGTCCTTTCCAATGGGTCTCCGAAAGTCCGCATATTTCTATATCCTCTCTTTCGACTTCTCTTTGTAGTATATGCAGTTTGCCTGGTTGCAATAATCCTCGAACATTCCAATTGATCACAACATGTTTTAAATATTTTTGGCAAAGTACAAGAGATAGTTATATGTGTATAACAAATATAGCATAATTAATATTCTTAATAGATTCTGACCCAGCCTTTAATAGCCTTTCTCCTATAACCCAATATAAATTCACAAATTTGTTTACTTACCAGGATAAGCTTGAGATATGGTCAAACGGCAAACTCCATTTCTAAAATGCAATTGGTAGTCTCTAGAATTCTGTATAATGCGTCCATTCTTAGACCACAAAACGTTGGGCTGCGGCTCCGACTGAACGATGCATTCAAACTTAGCGGCTTGGCCTGCGACAACTGCAATGTCCCGTAGTGGCTAAAGACAAAACAGAATATATTATTTAGTGATTATAAAATATCTTCTGAATTACTCCCTTTATATTACTAATAGCTTGTAGTTAAATAAATATGGTTGTCTAAGATATGACTCCAATAAAAACCTTAAGAAGAGAGAAAGATGCAATAAAGTTTGAACCACTAGGCTATGGAAATAAACTCAAACAGATAATCCTGTTCTTTCAGATTAAAATAGATGACCAATCCACGTGAAATCATTACCTCAGGTGGCTAGATATAATCATTATTAATCTCACACCGGCAAGCTAGTCCTGGATTCTGGGAAGAGAAATATTTTAAAAATCAAACATTAGAACCTTCAACATAAAATCCATGAATGAAGATACAGAGATTCGTAAATTAAAAGAATAACGAAGAATGTATCCAATCTACACTGGTATATCATAGGTTTGACAGAACCAAATAAAACTGGGACAACTCCTTAAATCTGCGATATTTTAAAGGCAATGATAGCTACAACGGATTTATCATAAATAAAAGAATCGGTCAGAATCAGATTGGGTAGCATATGTTATAATTAAAATGAACAAAACAGGCTTAAAAATTATACAAGTATATACTCCAACAATTAAATATAACGATGATAATGCCGAAAAAATCTTTAAAGAGATCACTATCTTCTTAGAAGAAAAAACATAAGGAGTCTTCAATGTCAAATTAGAAAACAAAAAAGTACAGTTGTAAGCAAAATGGAAAAAATGTGGATGATCAAAGAAATGATAGAGGTCAAAATGCTGATAAACTATTTGAAAGATAAACACATTTTTGCGGACTTTGGAAGTACTCTAGCAAAAATGCTTCTTCTTCTTTGGGTGCCGTCTTCAATGAAGGTTGGCGATAACCTCAGCAAAATCATTTCTGTCCCTGGCTTTTCTTATTAAAGATTGAGAATCCAAACCAGTCCACTCACAAATGTTCTTCAACCAGGACGCCTGCAGTCTACCAGGACCACGTTTTCCTTCTACCTTCCCCTCTATAAGAAGCTGCAGTAGCTGGTATTTCTCCATTTCTGTATATGTGTCCCAAATATGAGGTTTTCCGTGTTTTCATTATTTTTAAGAGTTCTCTGTCGGTACCCATCTTGTGTAGGACCTGCTCGTTGCTCATATGCTCTGTCCAGGGGACTTTCAGCATCCTTCGAAATAACCACATTTCAAAACTTTCCAAACGCCTGAGTGAGTTGATTTTGAAGGTCCAGGCCTCCATTCCATATAGTAAGGTGCTGTAAACGTAACATTTCAGCATTCGGTATCGGATTTTGAGATTGAGTGTTTGGGACGTAAACATTTGTTTCATTTTTAAAAAGACATTTCTTGCTTGTTCAATTTGCGATTTTATTTCTATGTCTGGATCTATATCTTTCGTTATCCAGCACCCTAGATATCGAAATTTCTCGACATTTTTGATAATGTTACCATTCACGTTTAAAGCCATGGGTGGATGGATGGATGTTTTGGAGACAATCATTGTTTTTGTTTTCTTGACGTTAATGCTGAGGCCGTATTGTTCTCCGATCGATCTGACGCGATCTTTTTTTTGGAGACAATCATTGCGAAAAAAATGCACAAATAGGAAATATAGAAATAAATTGATAAAAGCGCAAAAAACTCCGCAAAGAATACAAAAAATATTGAGAACAGATACATTGATAGTAGAAGCAACATTGGATTTCACCTCAAATAGACTAATTTACGTTTTATAAAATAGTTTTGATAAAGACATGGAATACCAGTCGAAATGACAACTCATGAATAAATAAAATACTTTTAATAATATATTTTATATATAAAAAACATTGAGCTGGAGAAGAAGAATACAAAGTCAAGTTAAAATTTAATATAACAAACAGACAATTGAACAGCAGACATAAATAGAAAATGTTAATGCAGAAAAGCAACGAAAATTAGGATATCTTTTTATACGTACCGTTATGAACATTGGAGCACGCGCTTGAGCAGGGTTCAGTTTTGAGTGATTTACTGGAGTGGTTGGACAGCTAGGTGGTGTTTGAGCACCTGGTCTTCCACCTTTAAATAAAACAGTCATTGATTCGTAAAATTTTCAATTAGTAAAATTCGATATATCAATTATGTCAAAAAGCATGTGCAAAAATATACAGATACTTAAATTAAATCAGATTGATATGTTTAATAGTTTTATATATGAAATAACAGCTTAAAATACTGAACTGTACCCTCGGGGATTGGTCGTATTACAACGCTATTATATTATTTCCAATTCTACAACAAGTACCGTCAAAAATCATAGTACGAATCGCGTATTTATGTTCTGCTATTCGTTTATCAAAGTTTCTACAGTTTGACCGATGTAAGTTTTTGGGCAGTCGCCACATTGAAGTTTGTACACACCACTATTTAAGTGTTTTTATTTGGCTCTTGTTATTTTTAATATATTTGCCTAGGTTGTTACTTGTTCGGAAAACTGGTATTATTCCTTTCTTTTTTATGTGTTTGGCAATTTTTGTTGTTATTTTGCCTGTATATGTAATCGAGCAGAAGGTACTGGGTTTTTTCTCTGGTAGTGTAAATACTAATTTTAGGGCTTTCTTGTGTAGTTTTTGATTTAACATTTTATTAATTGTTTGTTCGTTGTATCCGTTGTTTACTGCTATTTGCTTAATTATATTTAATTCTGTCTCAAAGTTGTATTTTGACATTAGAATTTCTGTTAATCTATGTAACATACTATGATAAACTGCCAGTTTATGTTGTGTTTGGATGGATGATGAATTGTGTATAGTCGTGTCAGTATGGGTAGGTTTATGAAATATGGAGAAGTCATGTTTGTTTGAAGTCTGCTAATTTTTAAATCTAAAAAATTTATGGATTGGTTTTGTTCTGTTTCTATTGTAAATTCAATATGACTATAAAGTGAATTAATATACGATAAAAAATTGGTCGAGTTGCCTGTTAGTTCCTGTGAAACATACCAGTACGTCGTCTACGTATCTCCACCAATATAAAAAATGTTTGAATACGGATGTTTTGAAATCTTTGTCTCTAGATGATCCATAAAAATATCTGATAGCAATGGGCTTAGAGGATTACCCATTATAAGTCCTGCACTGTTATTTGTATATATTTTATTATTAAATTCAAAGTAGTACTGGTTAATCCCATAGATTAACAGAAATTCCTATGTCAAAATACAACTTTGAGACAGAATTAAATATAATTAAGTAAATAGCAGTAAACAACGGATACAACGAACAAACAATTAATAAAATGTTAATTTATTAATTACCGTTGACTAATTAATTGACCGTTTATTAATTAATTAATTAATAAACAGTCAAACTGGTAGAAACTTTGATAAACGAATAGCAGAACATAAAAGGGCTTTCAAGAATAGAAAAACAGATTCGACATACGCACTTCACCTTCTAGATCATAATAATTCTTTTAATGACAAATTGAAAATTCTTCACATTCAAAATAAAGGCCTTAAGCTATCTTTGTTAGAATCTATGGAAATCAACAAATTAAAAACCCAGATATAATTCTGAATGACCAACTTAAGACAAACAGTTCTCCCTCCTCAACCTATTTCATTAGAGACTATAAATTTGTAAACCCAAGCCAAAAATAGATCACTTGAGAAAGGCAATCAGCCGAAACAGCTGTAGTGATAAGAACTAAAATAAATTTGTGGAAGTTTGAAAAGAAAGTTTTCAGTGTTTTATTGTTACATAAAATGAATTTCCATCAAGTAACGGTCGAATCCATCATTTATCAACGATCTTCTTATCTTAACTTGTCCTGAAAGTGAATATAATAGAACATCGTTTACATTCTTTCATCCTTTTTTCTTTGTTCTACAAATGGAGCTTGTTTTCCACTTATTATTATTTTTTTCTAGGACGCTGCTTACTTCTTGTTTTACGGTATAATTTGCCATATTTTCTCTACCAATAGTAACTGTTTGCCTTTTCATCCCTTGTATCCTTTTTCCTTTCCATTCCGAACATTCCTGAATATAACTATGATAGAAATATTCTACCAAGAATCTGTGATTTTTAAAATTAAATTTAGTGGAGTGATGGCATGTTCTGTAATTGATTCCTTAATGACTTGAGAGTACCTTTTACGTTTAGTCAAACTAGAATTCACAATACTTTTTTTGCTCTAATGTACCGGGTTTCTCATTATATTATGACCCCTAGTTATTTTCCTTAATTTTGGGAATACAAAAAAAAGTTCCAAATAAAAGTTGTATTATTTTATCTGTACCGACCAACAATGTAGCAACAGACCAAATTTTGTATACAGGGAGTGCCCAATAAAATGCATCTTTAATATTTCAAATGGGAGACCCTGTATTTTTTTTATAATTTTGAGTAGCCCTGCATTTCCTGATTACCAATATATAACATTGTGTAGTATTAGTTTTGTTCAATAATGGTATGTGGTACTACAAAAGAGTAACCACAGATGGCTATGCAACTGACATTTCAAAATGAAACAATTATTAATTTATTATAAATTGTCAGTCCTTATACCGAAATAGGTTATACTGCAGATGAAGACGTAGATATATTCTCAATTTATGTAAAAAATAATAAAAACAAGCAAGCGGTAAGAAGATAATGTAGGCTGATTTATGCAGATCGACAGACTTCTTCTGCAAATACATTTTTATATAATTATCGTCATGTCATAAATGAAAAAATGTTTGAACGGAAGAAACGTACTATCGTAGGAAATGATAATGAAGATCTTAATACTTTGCTTTATTTTTAAGGTAAAAAATAAATACTTAAATAATAGATTAAATCCATAATGACATTTTTATTTTAGAAAATTCCGAAACTAGTCTAAACAATGCTACTAATGCATTACAGAAAAGCCGTGCGACGATACATAGAGTTTTAAAAAAGCACAACTATCAGCCGTACAAAATATTACCGGTACAAGAACTTACCGATGGTTATAAGAGAAAGCGTTTACAGTTCTGTCAAGACATGCTTACAAATTTGAACAATGATCCTAATTATTTTTATAACATTTTATAGACATATGAATCAAATTTCAACTTCAGGCATTTTTAATAGAAGAAATAGGTATTCCTGGGAACAGAAAAATAATAAAAAAAGAAAAATTAAGCAAATAAAAAAATCAGGAAGAAAATCAATAAATGTGTGGTGCGGAATATTTCAAAACAAAATATGACCATTTTTTTTTAAATAAATCAAAATCAATTAAAAGATGATTGCACAGAGGGCACGCCTCTAATGTACCGTCGACATTAATATCATTTTGTGCCAGGTCTTACATCCCCAATAGTCCGACTTAACACCATGTGATAGCTTTTTATGGGGGTTTTTAAAAGAAAAAGTGTATTTTGATTCAAATACAAATATTAACACTATCACGGCAAAAGTTAGCGCGGAAATTGAAAATTTAAATGGTCATAATAATACAATATCTGACGCATTAGAAAATTTGAGACGAAGATATTACTTGTGCATTGATAACAATAGAGGCCACTTTGATCAGCTATTGTAATCTTAAATGTAGTATTGTATCTTGAATGTAGTATTGTAAGTCATTAATTTTGTTGACTTTCTAAATATATTTTTTCTGATTTTAGTATAGAATAGTAGTACCATACGCCATTATAGCACAAAACTAATGCTATACTTTGTTATAAATTAAGGAAAATAAGTGGGAGGTCAAAATATAGTGAGAAACCCTGTACACAGAACCACAGCTACATTTTTTTTGCATTTCCCAAAAAAGTTTAGTTTCTTGTTCTTAGCTATTTTTGTTTTCATTTATTTCTATTAATTGGCCTTCTTAAAGATGAAAGTCAGCGTTTTATTCTTAAATATCTACTTTAGTACTATAGTACGATCAATGAGATTTCAGTTGGCTTTCTATTTAGACAAATATATCCTATATCATGTGAAAACACTTTTCTTTTCAATCAGTATGACGTGAGATTTTTGAAGGACATTTTTAGAAATATTGTGCAGATTGTTGATATTTCTTGAAATTTTTTTTGAGTTGCAGGTAATGTTTTTAATTTTCTTTTTATTTATACATTTTTATTGTTGCTAAATCAGACAGACAATTACATATAAAATATACGTATCTATATGAAACTCAATAAGTGTATTTAAATTTCTTTATTTTCTATTTGTATATTTTTGCACAAAATTTAATACCAAAATAAAAATTTTCTTAAATTGTTTTAAAAATTTCTTTTAAGAGAGGTATCACTACATAACATAAAATATCTAAAGCTTTCACAAACAAAAAGAACAGAAGAATTTAAAAAAATGTAAAAAAACGAGGTAATAGAAAAAGTAAAGCAGCTGATACTATATCATCCAAAAAGTGGCTATGTTAAAATTATTTAATGAATTTTAACACCTAGAAAAAATTATCGATATGAAAGGAAAATATTATGTTGATTTTGGCATTAAAGTAGAATTAAACTAAAGAATAATTTGTATATATAATTTGAATGTTATCTACTTTATTCAAATTTGATTTTGTTTCTTATATTCAGTAGCTTTTTTCTACTATCGGATTCTCATCTTGTGTGTCCTCAATTATATTTTTGAAATTAAATGATTTGTTTCTTGTTAAGTTTAAAGCAGTGTAGACAACACAGTTGGGTATATTTAAGTAAAATCCTAAACCAAAGCGGGGTCGCATATTTTACCCTAATTGTAACTCTGAAAGTTTATCCTCTTATAAACTGATATTTAACATCCACAAGGAAACATCTGGAAAAATCAATATCGAGAAGGGAGTAAGACAGGGATGTGTCCTATCACCTTTGCTGTTCAATGTTTACTCTGAGAAGATATTTCAGAAAGCTTTGGAAGGCACCTCGGATGGTATAATTATAAACAGGCAATGTATAAATAATCTGCGATATGCTAATGACACTGTCATACTGGCAGATAATGCTGAAGCCCTGCAACGCTTAATGGACCGAGTAACGACAGCCTGTAGAGAATTTGGAATAAAATTGAATACAAAGAAGACAAAAACGATGGTTATCAGCAAGCACCAAAACAGAAGGGTGAAGGTCAATGTCGACGGTAACAGATCTGGAAAGAGTAACAAGAACAACGTACCTTGAAAGTAATCTTGATGAAACTTGGGATCACTCCCTAGAGATAAGAATACGCCTGGAAAAGGCACGTACAATGTTTCACAAAATGCAAAAAGTTCTATGCAACCGCCAGCTGGGCATCTCATTGAGAACTAGAATACTTAAGTGCTATGTTTTCTCCATCTTGCTATATGATGTTGAAGCCTGGACAATGACAGAAGCAACACAAAAAAGAATCCAAGCATTCGAACTCTGGTGTTACCGTAAAATGCTCAGAATATCCTACATGAGCCATACGACAAATGCGGAAGTCTTGCGGAGGATGAATAAGGAAAGAGAGCTTATGCTTATAATAAAAGAACGGAAAACACAATATTTTGGTCACATCATAAGAAATCAAAAGTATGAACTGCTCCAACTTATAAGCGAAAGTCAATAGCAAAAGAGGACCAGGAAGAAGACGCAACTCCTGGCTTAAAAACCTACGGCAATGGACGAACATGACCTCCATAGAACTATTCAGGGCTGCTACAAATAAGATTAAATGGGCAAATGTAATGGCCAACGTCCTTAAGAATAAGGCACCGTAAGAAGAAGAAGGAAACTGCATTCATGTAGTTGACTATATCACAAAAAAATTATTTAGAGAATTCCTTTATAAAAGGTATATTAATATAAAAACCCTATCGGGCTAGATCACAAAACATTTTCTGAATTAGTATTCCATCATCAGTGCCATCTGGATGTACATACGTGTTTAAAGCCACTAAATATGTGGGTAAAAACTCTTTAAATGTAGTTAGATTACGATAAAATTAATCTATGTGAAGACTTAGATAACATTTTTTTAAACTTTTTTTGTACATATTTAATTCTACTTCAATATCCATTGTGTAAAAATAAATGCATATGATTGTAAAATATTAAATTGTTACATGATATATGAGGAAAAGACTTGTTAAGCGTTAAGAGCTACATTGTAAGAAATTAAAACCGTAATTTAAGTTGTTTTTAATTTGACCAGTACAATACAATATAATCCACTTATATTAAAAGTATCGGTGTTAGGGGAACGTATTTCGGATCAATTTTATTGACACTAATTAATTACAAAGTCAATATACATTGGATTAACCAACCACCAGAAAATAGTAGAATAAATAAAGAGAAATCCGATAAAGCATCCAGTGGTGATAAAACTTAGAGGAAGAGGAGAATCTTAAGTTACTACGGTGCCAAAAAAAAATAAAAACCCAACACGTTCGCTGCCAGACAGTGAGCTATCATAGTACTCTTTTGCGCCGTTGATCTGGTATCATATAACATAAGCTATATTATAATCTGTCAACAATCAGTTTGTAAAGTTGCTTGATGTTGTTGTTGAATTTTTTAAAATAATAGCTGTAAGTATTTTATAATAGATACAAGGTGGTCCAGAATTATGTACATTAATTTCTAGAGCTCATAGTACGTCCAAAAATAAGGGGACTTTTTTATGTACACTTTTTTATAAAACTGAATAATAAGGGAGATACAACCCTTTAAAGGGGTGAATTGAAATTCTTATTTTTTCAAATATTTTCCAAACGGTTTTGAATACGGAGTTCATATTTTGGGAGTGATTATAAGACATTAGGATAATTAATTTCATATCACCACCTACCACATCCTATATTAAAACAGGGTAGTTTTGGAGGGTAAGTGGGGGTTATTGCGTCACATGTTTTTTTAATTTTTACATATTTAAAAAAATATTTTAAAAATTGTTTCCCTAGACTTTTCTACGCAAAAAAGGTGCTCTTGTAATATTTCGATAGATATCACCGTTTTCGACTTATTTAAACTCGAAGGTATACATGTATTTTATTGTAATCGTTACATTTCTTAATATTCATCAAGTATACTTTGGAATTGACACTTGTGTTAGCAACAACACTAATCTCAAGTAGTCTATGAATTGTCAGTGACGTTTAATAACAATTAAATTATTTTATCTACACTTTTATTGTACTCGACAGTGAAATTTGTTTAACACGTCTCTTTTGCTATATTTTTAAATTTGTTTGCCCGCAATATGGCACACTATTCAAATTCTGAGATGACAGACATACTTGTAGTATTAGGGGAATGTTCGGGAAATGCTGCTGCCGCTGTAAGACGCTACAGAAAAAAGTATCCGAACAGAAATATTCCCAATGCCAGGACTTTTGTAAGTACTGAACGACGACTGAGAGAAACCGGTTGTCTTCAAAGAAGGAATACAGATGCTGGTCGTCGTAGAGAAGCAAGAAAAATGTTCGCGTTGAACAGCAAATATTGGATGCTGTAATAAATGACCCCACAATAAGTACACGTAGGTTAGGATTAAGAACGAATATTTCCCATCAAAGTGTTTTAAGAGTTCTGCATGAAGAGCAATTACATCCTTACCACTATCGACAGGTGCAGGAATTGTTACCTGACGATATGCCACTTAAAGTTGATTTTTGTGAAGTATTGCAAAATAAAGTTCAAACTGCACCAAATTTTTTAAGCAACATTCTGTTTACAGACGAGGCCACATTTACAAGACAAGGTATGTTCAATTCTAGAAATATGCACTTCTGGGCTGAAGAAAATCCAAGGGCTACAATGGAAACTCACTTCCAACACACATTCAAGATAAACGTTGGACAGCTACTTTAGGAAATAGTTTCATAGGATACCACATCTTTCCCGGAAATTTAAATGGTAACATGACAATGTATTAAAATTTTCTAGACAATATTTTACATGATATTTTGGAAGATATTCCATTACAGATACGAAGAAATATGTTTTTCATGCATGATGGTGCTACACCACATTACACAAGAATTTGTAGAAGGTGGTTACATGCACATTTCCCTGATAGGTGGATAGGCCGGGTGAGGATGCACCGATTCATTGGCCTGCTCGTAGTTGTGATCTTAATCCAATGGACTTTACAGTATGGAGTTATTTGAAATCAAAAGTGTATAACACTCCAATTAATACAGTAAATGAGTTAAGAGACAAAATTGAACAAGTATTTACCGATTTACAAAACGATCTAGTAACATTAAATGGATTAATGCGTTCGCTAAATAAAAGAATTAGATTATGTATTCAACAAAATGGAGGACATTTTGAACAGTTGTTGTGAAATATTATTTTTGCCATTAATTAAATGTTAAGTATTAATTAAGTTTTTCATTAATTTGTAATATTATTGCTAACACAAGTGTCAATTCCAAAGCATACTTGATGAATATTAAGAAATGTAACGATTACAATAAAATACATGTATACCTTCGAGTTTAAATAAATCGAAAACGGTGATATCTATCCAAATATTATAAGTGCACCTTTTTGCGTAGAAAAGTCTAAGGAAACAATTTTTAAAATATATTTTTTTGAAATATGTAAAAATTAAAAAACATGTGACGCAATAACCCCCACTTACCCTCCAAAACTACCAAAACTACTGAACAAAATTTACTTCAACAACCAAAAAAATGTATGATATATAATACGATAATTAATTTCTTACAATGCATAACCACGACACCAAGTACCTGCAAAAGTATTGTTAAAGGCTGGAGACGTGCTAGGTAAACTAGGCGACAGAGATGCAGGACTACACGAAGAAGGCTCCCATCTCGAACCTGGTAGCAAATGATTCGGCCCTTTGGCGTCCCTCTCGTAATCCGACATCTCGCTCTCCGAAGTAGGCTCCCACTTTCCAGATTTGTTAGCCGACAGAAACTGTTTGGGTTTAAACTGAGGGGAGGGGTGGTGGTTAGTACTGGAGTTGGTTTTTTCGTGATAAACGGGCATCTCTATATCTTTAGTTCTTTTAGGCGGTTCGATGATCGTCTTCTTGGGAGTAGGAACAACTCCTCCTTGCTTACCTTCGCCGGGAAGGACAATGCCGAATTCGTAACCAAAATCGTATTTGAAGTAGATAAGGCCTGTGTCGGGGTCAACGTGCTTCGTTCCTGGATAAATATAGAATTGTATTATCATGCAATAGTGGTCCTTTTACCAAACAAACTACTTACGGCTTTTGATCATTATTATTCTCTGCTTTTTGTTTGTTAAATCAATCGAAAAATGTTAAAAACATGCATGAATATATACAAACATTATCACATTTTTTATCCTTTGAAAATCAAGCTTAATTTCAAATTAAAAATCAAAAATTTGTACCACAAATCGTTACTCATATCTACATAAAAAGTTTACTAATGGACTACAAGCTCATAGGACATTTTTAGGACGTCATTTGATAGAATCATATATAAGTCAATACTGCAATATGTAATAATAACTTTAGAAACTATGCCGCCTATTCTTATCGGTACTCAAAGCATGGGGGTTCAAATTAAGGGTTGCCTTAGATTTCTCATTCATGTCCCTGCCAAAATATACGGTTGCAAAAAAAATAATCTATTTACCGATCCGAAACGATGTGTATGAATGCCATACTGTGTCAAATTACTGAAAATGAAGGAAAAGTTTTCCGAAAAACTCTCCCTGCTCCTGTTACCAGTATTTTTGTACGGCATTCTGTCGCAGGTCATTATTTTTACATATCCTACCTAAGTTATAAATGCCGTACAAATATTTTTGACCAAAAAGTCTCTATTCCCTTAAGTGGTAAGTTTATCTTACCTGTGACTTACCGGTACCGATAAGAATTAGCGGAATAGTTTCTAGAGTTGTCACATATTGTAGTATTGTTTTATATGATTTATGCATGGTCAAATGACCCATAAAAATCTCTCATGGGCTTGTGTCTGAAACATACATCTAAAAAAGTGGATTGTCAAACCAAATTAAAATAAAGAAATTCTTCTTCTTCGTGTACCATGTCCTTTCAGAACGTTGGTTACCATCATAGCTATGTTAATTTTATTCACTGCCACCCTAAATAGCATGCTTGTATCAACACCATACCAATCTCGCAAGTTATTCAACCATAAAATCCACAGGGAAAATAAATTTCTTCAGCTGGCTATATACCATGTATCACAAAAAAGAGGTTAAATCTTTCTAAATAGGTATATTTAAAAAACCCTTAAAATGGCTACATCAAATTAACAACCATTATTCCGAATACGTTTGTTAATTTGATGTAGCCCTTTTAAGGGTTTTTTAAATATACCTACTAACAAAGATTTAACCTCTTTTTTTTTATTCAACCATAACGTTCTTCTTCGTCCTGGACTGCGTTTACCTGCTATTTTTCCTTGCATGATATTTTGTAGCAACTATATTTGGGACCTCTCATTACATTTCCGAAATACTCAAGCTTTCTCTGCTTGATGCTTTTTATGATCTTAGTACCCTTGCTAAGACGTTCTAGAATTGTAGAGTTTAGAATCTTCTTCACTCAAGGAATCTTTAGAATTCTTCTATAGTGCCACATTTCGAAAGCCTCAAGGCGATTTAGATCGATTTTATTCACATTCCAGGACTCGACAGCATAAAATAAGACCGAGAACACGTAGCAGCGAAGTAGGCAGATCCTCAATGCAAATTTTAGGTCTGTGTTACATAACACCTTGGACATCCTTCTAAAAGCAGCTATAGCCTGTTCTATCCTAGATCTAATTTCGCCGTAACTTTTTGCATTACAATTTAATTGTTGTCCAAGGTAAACGATTTTATCAACTTGCTCAAGTTTGGTACTATTTACATATATACAGTGTAGGAAAAATTTTATGGTCGGTATGGACCTTACGTGAGATGGAGTGAGAAACAGCTGTTTAAAAAGAGAGAGGTATATTAGGTACGCCCTTTATATCGCCGAATGGAAATATTAAAAAAGGGGAAATTCAACGTTGCCAAACTTATTGGTTTTATTTGACCTGTTGTCTTTTTTGCATTTGAACAATGTTCTATCAAGAAGATAAAATGCTCAAGATAATCAAATTTGGGCGAAATTGATTTAAATGGCAGGTTACTGTTTTTTTTATTGGGAATATGCCACAAGTTTTCTTTACAATAATTGTAATATAACATTTTGATTTCCATTTCGGAAATCGTTTTATATAAATAAAATTTATTAATGTTTCGTATTTTAAGTACGATTTCCGAACTAAAAATCTAAACATCAAAATAATTTCCCAATATGAAATAATAAACAATTAAACATGCATACAATAACGCCAAATTAAAAAATATTCATACACTAATTTATTTGGCAACGTCTAGTCTAGATAGTCGTTTGGCCACCGTTGTTCGGTGGTTTGGTCAAAAGATCGAGTAACGAGAAGTAGAGGTGGGTCGTGCTAGTTTATCGTTAAGAGCGTAGGTGCAAAATTTCGGGTCAATGTTTTTTAAATGCATTCATTTTTTTCGAATCCTGAGAAAACTAATAAATATTTTTGAAAAAATTAAACGCAGAATGAAACAATACATTATTACCGAGAGCTGAAAGTCCCTGAAAACTTCTATAATGTGTATTTTAATAAGTTATAGGGATGAAAAAAAAAACAAAATTTAGTGTGATTTTTAATTTCAAATATCTCATTAAAAAAACTTTTTGTTTATTCTAAGGGACCTTCGGCCCTCGGTAATAATGTAATCTTTCATTCTGCATTTAAATTTTTCAAAAATATTTGTTAGTTTTCTCAGGATTCCAAATAAATTTTAATTTTTTTGAATGCTAAAAAGCATTTAAAAATTTTAATTTTTATAAACAAGTAACTATGATTGTTTAAAAGTAGTTTCAAGTAAGATAGTACCTACATAAACAAACATAACGGCTATTATCGTTTATGTGTATATCTTTTGAAGTGAAAGAAACTACCTAATGATATATTTATTATAACTTGAAAAATAAACTAAACAATCATCATCATCATTAACGGGGGTCCTACGGCGATTGCCGCTTCCCGCATTTCAGCCTCCATCTTTTCCTATCTCTCCAATCTCCCTCTTCTAAGCCTCTAGATTGCATTGTTTTTGTAATTTCTCTTCTCCAGGAATTTGGTGGTCTTCCCCTTTTCCTTCTTTCTGGCGGAACATACATTAAGGCTTTCTTTGGCCACCGCTCCTCCTCCATTCTCATCACGTGACCATACCATTGTAATTGCCTTCCTTGTATTCTATCTGAAAGAGTATCTCTAATTCCTGTACGGTTTCGTATTTCCTCATTCCTGATTCTTTCCATTCTCGATACTCGACATGACCGTCTAAGATAATCCATTTCCACAACGTCTACTTTATCTCGTTCATTCTTTGTCATCGTCCAACATTCGGCACCATATGTGGTAATTGGTTCTACAATTGCTCTGTATACGCGAAGTTTGGTATGCATCTTTATTTTATTAGACCACAGTAATGAATTCAGTATTCGGATGCATTTTTTCCCTTGGGTTATTCGGTTTTGTACATCTATCTTAACTCTGCCATCTGCTGATATGATGCTTCCTAGATATTTATACTGGTTGCAGCCTTTTATGACTGCGTTTTCAAGCCTCAGATCTGTGGTATTTCCTCCAATTTTTAAATATTCTGTTTTAAATATTCTGTTCTAAACTAAACAATACAAATAGTAAATCGGACTTACATTTACATTACACGTTATTATTAAATCGCGAATAGTCTAAATTGACATAAAAACTATTGTCCTGTGTTAAATATTGTCCTGTTAATGCGAAGTAACTCTCAGTTACTCCAGATGTCCAGGTAATACAGATATTTTCTACTTCTTTAACAACTTGCGATCTAATAATTTGCTCACTTTTGACATAATATTCCTGAAGTAATGAACCTGACAAAGTTTTTCTTGTTGGTGGTTTATATCCAGGAATCCACCCTGCAAACTTTTTAAAAGCTGGTTCTTTAACTATGGAAAACGGATGAAACGAAAAGTTTAGTAAATCTTGAAAATCAATCAGTCCAAGAAAAAGAAACTGATAAAGATGACTTAAGTCCATGGTGTATTTTTGATGAATTAATTGGACATGACTCATCTAAACATACACCTGTATCGAGAGGTATAAAAGAAGTCGACATGTAATTGTCTGATGATATATTACCCACAAACAATTTCGAACGGAGATTGGAACTGTCCATTACCGTGGTGAAAAAACCATCGCCATGTATATCGTAACTTAACCACTATATTCATAAAATGTTGTAGTATTGTAACAAAATCTTTTCCTTGTGAACACATGTTTAACATCTGGTATAATTTTAAATAAAAGAAGAACGCGATTAACAAGAAAAGTGGAAAAACTTATGTTTTTAAATGTCAATTTAGACGATTCGCGATTTAATAATGTGTAATGTAAATGTAACTATTTAAGTACCATTTGTATTATTTAATTTATTTTTCAAGTTACAATAAATATATCCTTCGTTAGGTTCTTTTATTTCAATACTTATACACATAAACGATAATAGCTAATATGTTTGTGTACTCGCTAATTTGAATACTGGTAAACAATCAACTAGTTACAGTTTACGAAAAACGGTTCCGATAAAAATTAAAAAAACGAGAAGACCCACCTCTAGTTTTTTAGGTATATTAGGATCGGAACCAGAGAATATCTGATCGGAACTAATCGTCTCACTAATGGGCAATGGCCAATGAGTGTTAAAAGGATTTTAGAGGGGAGACGAAGGGAAATATGATTGTTATCTTTGTCTAATTCGTTGAAAATATGATTTTATATCTGCGTTAGATATCCTGTTAAATTTTACCATACCGACCTTAAAATTTTACCTACACTGTAGACGGTTTTATATGCTATTCTTTACTTATTACGAGTATTTTGGTTTTCCGTATGTTCAGATCCAGACTTGCCTCCTTACAACTCTCAACGACACTATTAAGTACTGTTTGCAGATCTTCTTGACTAGAAGCTAGGAGTAGTGTATCGTCCGCATATCGAAAATTATTGATTACTTCACCGTTCACAAGTATTCCTTCTTGTTTTTCAGAAAGTGCTTTTCTGAAAATTCTTTCTGAGTAATCACTGAA